ATTTTTTTTTCTAGGTTGAAACTTGAAACCTTGATAAAATGCGAAGACGTCATTTTGAAATTATACGACAAAGTCGTGAGTAGATTTTCTAAATAAAAAAAATCGAAACTGTATTAATATTTTGTAGAAATCCGGTTCACAATCTCAATCCCATTTTAATTCCGAACCCTCATTAACACCAGGACCACCTCCAACAAGCTCTAAATATTCACCTATTACACCATCAAGTCCAAGTCCACCACGTGACATTCCAAAAACTCAACCGGTGGTAATACCCACCGAAAAAATACCAGATAAGTACGTTATTTTCCCATCATGATTTAACCAAAACTATAAATATAATATGTTTTTTTTTCAGGGAAAGCAAATTAACTAAGTCTTCTAGCAGTAGTTATAATAAGCCTAAAATAGACATTTATAGTAGTGCAGGTGATAGTCTTAAGTCAAAATCATATGAAAAATCGAGCGTTTTTGAACGTTTGGGCAAAAAAGGGCCTGATATGTCCAAACCACCTATTAGTTATGCCGATTTGGAAGCTCTCCAAGACGATAGTGTTGATACTGAGAGATTGTCATTGAACGAATTGACAGATTTAAGAGAGAAACTTCAAAAACAATTGAAAGCGTCAGATGATTCCAGCGATTCGTCACGAGATTTACTGATTAATACCACAGTTAGAAATACTACAATATTGACAAAAAAATCGGTTGAGAAAAGTGTATCTAGTGACAGTAAGGTTAAACCGGTTGAAGTAAAACCAGTGGTTAAACCGGTCCCTGTCACAAAACCAGTTAAAGTGATCAAAGAAGCCGCCAGTGTATTTGGAAATACACTTTCTAGTATAGATAATCAAATTTTGGAAGGTAGTAAAAAGGAACGTCGAAGTTCAATTAGTAAAAAAGAATCAGAACGAAGAAATTCAAACGAGAAAAAATCTGATATTTCTAGTCATAAAAAGACTGAGAAGAGGAGTAGCACAGAACATAAACATAAAGAAAAGATAGATGATACAAAACTGAGTAAAAACGACGAGAAAGTTAATAATAAGGATGATAAACCGAAAACCGAACAGGTTTTTAAACGCCTGGCCGACAAATACAATCCTAAACCGAGGAAACCTCAACCTGAACCGACTCCGCCTCCAAAAGTACTAGAAACTCCTCCTCTTATAATTGACAAACCTCAGAGTAAATCTCCAGTCACTCCTCCAATCCTCCCTTTACCCTCCCCTACCAGTTCAACTCATAGTGCTGATAGCGAAATAGCTTCATATAATAAAAAACCCATTCCTGTACCTATTTTCAACCCAAATCAACCTCCTCCCAACTTGACTCCAACTCCACATCACATCCCGAATTTCGTCAATAACATAGTCACAAATCCGAACACTTCGACTTTAGTTAACAATCTTGTGAATCAATTTCAAGCCAAACCGAATTTCCCTCCAAATCAACCACAATTCAGACCTCAATTCCCTCCGGGGAATTACCCACATTGGCCGAATCAATGCCCCTCGCCGTACCCCCAACGCCCATTCACGCCATTACCCAATCAGTTTGAACAAATCCAACCGAATTTCCCCCCACCACCGGTAGTGGGAGGACCTACTCCCACTTTCAATCATCAACCTCAAGATGGACTTTTCGGGAAAAAAGATAGAGATATGAGGCCACGTGACGATTGGAGACGATCCAGATCACGTGAACCGAATCGTGATCCTCGACTACATTCGAGAAGTTTCGATTCAAGGCCTACTACACCACGAAGGGAATCGAAAGAATATGAATTTAAAGATCCGAGATTAAATCGTAATAGTAGATATGATAATGAAACAGATAGGTCAAGATCAAGGTCACGTGAAAGTGAAGACAGTAACACTTTTTCATCACCATTGGATAGTCTATATAGTTCAAATGATGGTTATAGAAAAACAGGAAAAGGTTACGGTGTTCAAAATTTCAAAATACCGAAAATTAAACGAGAAGAAGAAGATGTTTCAAAACCTGAAGTTGGAGAACCGAAACCTTGTACTAGTGAAGTTATTGAAGAAAATAAAACGAGTGAATGTGAAGACAATGTTGTTTTGGGTAGTGTATCATCATCGACAGAGTGTGAAAAAAAGAATGAAACCGTTGAGGAAAATGTAGAAGTTGGTGAAATTTCATCCACCAATGACATACAAGAGAATCAATCACGTGATGAAGCAAAACCTGAGGATCAAACCGAAATTATTAATAAATTTTTGAAGACACTTTTAGAAAATGAACGTACTCGAGCTGCAGCATCTATGTTTATCGATACCGTATCGAATTCACTCGATGATGAGAAATTAAAAATGGTAGTACAAAAAGTGAAAGCAGTTAGTGAAGAAGAAGAGAAACGTCAATTAATTCGACGAAAAATGAAACTTAAATCGGCTAAACTCAAAGCACAGCTATTGAAGAAGAAGAAAGCCGTTCAAAGGAAGATGCGTTTGAGGCGTGAACGTCTTGCAAAACTTGGTAAAACTGAAAAAGAAGAAACGAAGAAGGAGGAAGAAAAAGTTAAAGAAGAGGAAGTTTTAGTTTCAGTCGGTGAGAGGATTAAGAATAGGAAAAGAATGGCGAGTAGTAAAACACCGAAACGAAAGAAATCAAAGCATAAAACCGAACTCGATTTGCTTCATGAAGACATTCAAGATATGTTTATAAGAGATGGAGTTTTGACAGCGACTGGTAAAAGAATGTGTCGATTGTTGAAGAATGACGAAGCTAAAACACCACCACAACCTGAAACACCATCTCGAGCTAGAAGAATCACAAGAAGTGTTCCTGAAAAGTTCGATTCTGAACAATTGAAAGAAATGAGTAATGTTCGAGTTCTCATACCGAAAATTTCAGTTGATAAATTGACAATTGATGATGAAACTCAAAGATACTCATTGAGACGTTCCAATAAAACGACTAAGAGTTACGCAGAGGAAGATAGTGATGAAGAAAAGGATAAAGAAAAGTCGACTAATGAAGAAGAGAAGCAAGAATCGAGTGAAGAGAAAGAACCACCAGTAGAAAAATTGCCTGAAACGCCAAAACGGATCAGAAAGCGAACGAAATCGTGGGCTAGTGGCATTATTCCAAAGCAAAAACGCAAGAAAATTATAGTTGAAGAAGAAGAACAAGAAGAAGAAGAAATTGTTGAAGAAAAAGAAGATGAAAAGACTGAGTTTATCGAACCTGATAAAAACTACTATTCATCGAACTCTTGGCATTTTAAGTCACCTTGTAAGCTTTGTCCCTATTTTGGGAAAAACATAACGAAACATTATCGTTCCAAACATCCCGATTCGGAAGTTTTATCATCGAGATTACGACCAGATAAGGCCGAAAAAGCGATAAAAGCCTCAATTGAACTGAAATTGGATGAATCTGAAGATGTAGCATTAGCTTCAACACGACAATACGCATTTAAATGTCGTTTCTGTGACATTGAAATGAATTCGAAACCGACAAATTTTTTCGATCATGTTACCACACATACTGGAGAATATCGACATCTATGTACTTTATGTCAGTTTTCTGCTAGTAACTGTAAACCACTAAAGAATCACTATGAGAAGATTCACAAGAAAAATTATTATTCGAGAGTAGTTTGGATTAAGTCACGGATCTATGGTTATATTTGTCTCGAGTGTAATTTTGTCCAAATGAATCGGAAGGCTGTTGAAAATCACATCAATGTTTATCATTTAGAAGAAGGGAACAAAATAATGAAGATACATTTATCATTGTATGATGACGCGACCCTTAAAAGAAATCTGACAAGAATGAAGAAAGCACAAATTGTTGAAGATGCTAAGGAAGAGGAGATTGAAGAGCCGAAAGTGAAAAGAATCAAAACTCCTAAAAGAGAGTCACCGGAACCAGTAATCAAGAAAGAGAAAGAGATTGACATGACTGTCTTTACTTGTAAAACTGACATTGATGAAGAAAATGAGAAAATTGAACAAGAACGATTAAGAAAAATGGCCGAATTGAATGAAACTGTTAAGACAAATCGTCAGTCTTTGAATTTCATTGACGAATTAAGCAATCGATTGTTACAAGAGGAGAAAGAAGCACCCGAACCGGAAATAATGTTTGTTAAAAACGAACCATTAGATCTTGAACCAGACGAACCTGAAATTGAACCACAACCCGAAATCACCTCCAAGAAACCCTTAAAAATAATCGAAACACCACTAACAACAACAATGGATGTGGTCCAAAAAGACAATATTAAAATTCAAGGAATGATTGAGAAACTTCAAGTTAAACTTAAAGATGGTGTAGAAGGGCCACCACCGTTGACTCCACTTATCGAAAGAAAAACCGACGAAAGTGGTGATAATCTCATAAGTGCTGGATTTTTGAACATTAGTAAACTTGAAGATGGTCTTGAGTATGTTTGTAGAGTCCCTTCGTGTCTCTTTTCGACTAAATTACGCGATCGTTTTGTCACTCACTGGGAGGAGGATCATACACGAATCAATGAGAATTACAAAATGACCAAATGTAAGATTTGTCAAATTGAAATAACCTCAAGTGTTGAGTCACCTCTCTTGAGTGAATTYTTCGCACATGTTGAAAGCCAACACTTGGAAACACCGGTTTTACGCACTCGTCGTTTAAGTGGTGATAAACTATCGAAAAAAGAAGAAGAGGAAGAGGAGAATCCTTGGGGGATTAAAATCTCCGATGTTATATCATTGGCTGAAGATCCACCAAAAGTACCTCCACTATCACCAATCAAAGAACGACAAAGTCCCAAAATTGAAAGTGTAGTCTTGAAGGAAGCCAAATTGACATCGGTTGAGAAAGAAGCGAAATGGAAATCGAATGAAGCAATGTCGAAATTTTTACGATGTCCAAGAGCTTTATACAAATGTCCGCAATACTTTTGTATGTTTGCGAGTAGTTTGCGACCTTTGTTTGACAACCATATTAAAATTCACTCACCGACGAATGAACAACTCATGTGTTGTGTCTATTGTGACGTTAAAACGCCYCTAAATCAGGCGAGTCTTCACATTGATTTGAGACACTCGAATTGTCTCTATTCGTGTTCGCAATGTTTGTATCGTGCCCTAATGCGAGAATATGTAATGGTGCATTTGAAATTGAGACATCCGAGTGATGACCGCATTATTGCACTTTCACCAAAACAAGCAAAAACTATAATGATGAGTAAACAGAAAAAATTCACAGTGAAAGAAGCGTGTCCTCCGTATAAATGTGGTCATGAAGGTAGTAGAGTTTCACTGGTTTGAATTTTTCTTACTTCTGAGTTTTTCTAGATTGTACATCGCATTTCTTGTTTATCAACGAGTACTATAACCATGTAGTGAAAAGTCATGAAGGCTTAATGAGTTGTGGGTATGAAAATAATGACGTGAAATGTCCCTACAAGTGTGGATCAATTGATAATTTGATTGATCATTATCGCTCACATAATTGCTATCCTTTGCATTGTCTTTTGTGCACAGTTGGATGTGTTGAATTGTATAGTATGCTTGAACACTACTCTTTACTTCATCCTAGTATGGTTCCAGAGGTGGTTGACCGAAGAAATAGCCCCAAAGAGTCACGAGTGGTATGTTTTAAGTAGTGATGGGCACAATCGAATAAATTTTAACGAATAATTCGATAGTAGAAAATTCATTCATTAAAAGAAATGAATATGAGCGCAATACTGAATTATTGAATAAAAAAAATTTGTTTCTTTCTCACTTACAGTGAGTTATCTCACTCTAATAATTCATTCAAATCTACTGAAATTTTGCCAAGCACGTACGCGTATGAAAATTTATTCGATTAAAATCATTTAATTATTAAATAAATAATTAAGAAATAACAAAAATTAAAAACAAATTAACTCAAACAATGTCAAATAGTCCAATTTTGGCTTCCAGTTCTTTATTTACTACTAATATTTAAAATKTAGGTAATAAACCTCCATCTAATCATAATACAATCGTTTTAATAAAAAATAAAACAAAAAATAAAAACAATTGTAATAATATTGTAGTGGACAAAACAAAAAATTACGAATAAAATTAAATAAAACTTACAACAATTTTGATATTAACGTATTAACTTGAAATTGTAACTCTGTTCGTTTATTTGTTAAAAACTTTTTCAAAGAAGGTCTTAAACAGTGTTGACAGATCAAAAACATAAAATTCACCAGATCCGAGTTGAAAAATTTGTCAAATTTTCACCAGATTGCGATTTGTAAGRCAAAATCTCGCAAAAATGACATGCTTTTCTGCCTATTTCTATGATTTTTTGGCTTGTTTTCAACACAATTTTGAGAAATAATTGCGTTGAAAAATGTGCTAAAACGCTCGAAAAAACTGTAAAAAGAATATAATTTTAGACTTAATTTCTTGAGTTTTTAGTTTGACATTTTACAAAACATACTTAAAAGCATTTTCGGCTTTTCTCAGCTTATTTTTGTCTTAATTTTGATCGAAAACCAGTTATATCAAGTGAAACAAACAAAATAATATCAATCCTTTTTGTGATTTTTAGGCGTATTTGGACAAGTTTTTGCAAAATAAATGCTCTAGAAACGAAGTAAGTCGGGCGAAACAAGCTAAATAATGATACCAATTTCGATTTAATTTTTTAATGATTTAGGCCTGTTTTAACGCAATATTTCGAATTTTTTGTGTTTTTATCTCTCAAAAACATGATTAAACACTCRAAAAGGGCCAAAAAACGGCACGGCGTTTTTCGGCTACTTTGTTAAATTTGTGGCWTATTTTTGACAAAATTTTACAAAATAATTGTGTTTCTTGTTGAAAAAGTATTCGAAAAAAACATAAATAAATTGTCATTTTTCACTCTGTTTAATAATATCTCGTAAAATAACAATTACAACTATTTTTAACCAATTTGGTGGTTTTAGATTTTTTTTCGAGAAAGTTTGACGAAATAATCAACTTACCTTACCTTACCTGCCTAATAATTAGGTAAAAATATCATGATACAATCTTTTCTTATAAAAATGTAGTGATTTTTGACACGCTATGTCAAACTCTCACGAAAAAAATAGTGTTTCAGCTTAAAACTGCTTGAACTTTTAAAAACAGAAAAAATATATATCATTTTCGGTCTTATTCTGTGTTTTTTGGCTTTTTAACCAATTTTGCAAAATAATTGCGTTTCTAAAACTTTCAAGAAATGCAAAAGTAATGTAATTTCCGACTTAATATGTTAATTTTTCAGTTCGTTTTAGCGAAATTTTGCAAAAAAAAAACCTGAGAGTGTAGTACAAAAACGTGCTCAAAAACATTCTCGGCTTTTTTTTTTGGTCTCATTTTGCTCAAAAAACAGTTAAATCGAGTGAAACAAATAAAATAACTTCTTCTTAGTTCTTAGTTCTTGTGATTTCTAAGCGTGTTTAGACAAGATTTTGCAAAATCAGTGAACCTCTGGTTCAAAAACGAAGTAAATCGAACGAAATAAGCTAAAAATAATATCAATTTCGATTTCATTTTGTATTTTTTTTTTGTTTTTATCTCAAAAACGTGCTTAAATACTTAAAAAAACGCCGTTTTTGGTCAAATTTGTTGAATTTTTGGATTGTTTTTAAGGAATTTTTGCGAAATAATTTCTAGTTGAAAAAGTATCCTAAAAAAGACAAAAATAAATTTTCATTTTCCTATCTAGTACAATTTTATAAAAAAAAAAAAACAAAGAACTATTTTTAAGCAATTTGGTGGGTTTTCGACTTTTTTGAAAAAAATGACGAAATCATCAAGTTTCTGGTTGAAAACGTAGAAAATGCTCGAAAAACCGTTTTTTTTTTCATCTCCAAAAGAATTTTTATAAATGATTGATTCATTCGATAGTCAAAATCATTCGATTGTGCCCAACACTAGTTTTAAGTTAATAATTAATTAATAATTGATATTCTCAGGGTCATTTTTACTACTACAATGATGAGGCTTTTGCCAAAGTCCGCCATGTCCCATCTACCGAAATACTATCAACAATCGTCACCAAACGCTTCACTGTGGTTCCCGTCGACGCCCCGATTGAGTTACCCCCAAAACCGTCAACTCCCGAACCCAAAAATGTGACTCTAGTACCGTTATCTTTGATCCAACCAAACAAAACCCCCGAAGCTGGGAAAATCATTGCAATTTTCCCGAATTCGAACGATCCTGTGAAAATCTTCTCGCCGTCGACGAAACAAAAAAAAGAAACAGATTTTGTCTTCGCATCGAGTGAAAAAGACGATCCGATTCGAGTCGACGAAGGCGATAATAGTACCGATCCATTGAGTCTTGAAACCGATTCAAATGTCATGATTTCGGGTGATGAAAGCGATTCACAAGAACCCACCGATGGATCAGTTACGAAAAATTACGGTCTAATTGGTTATCAATTGTTTCGATGTGGTTTCTGTGAGATCTCCTTTTCGAATGCACGCAATTTTCGAACACACTGTATGAATTCGAAGCAATGTCGTGATGATAGTACAAATAAACCGTTCAAGTGTGTCCATTGTGAGCGAATGTTTAAAAATCCGAATGGTTTACTCGAACATATCCAATATCATGGCCAGTTGAGATTCTGTTGTTCGCTTTGTGTACGACGTTTCCCTTCATCGTTTTCATTGAGGTAACACATTTAGTGTTTTAAATGTTTCATAGTTGGCAATTGTGATTACAGGTTACACATGAGGGGCAAACACAACGTTACTAACACAATCACAACCCCTTTGACCCCCAATAAGACCAACCCCGAATGTGATGAATTCGTTCTACGACCGGTACCATTAATCGAACCCACGGATGCCCAAAGTACCACAATACCCATCGAAAGAGACGCTTATGGTCCTGACGAAATCAACGATTTGCCGAAACGTTGCATTTTCACATCGGAGATCAAGTGTGCATTGTGTGCTTATAGTACAAAAGTTCGTTCGAATCTCGTCCGCCATTTGCAATTTCATTCGGCTGAAAAATCAGTCCCTGAAACAGCCCCCGTAAATCCAGTTCCGTGTCTTGAAAAAAACGAAAAAATGTTTGATAAAATGACCAATTTAGCGATTAGTTCCTTTACGGCTACGTCAAGTCGAATGGGYGGGCCTAAAACCGAAACAGTTCAAGTCCCCGCCTATGTCCCCTCCCATCGTCGTTATGTTTGTTGTGCACCAAATTGTAATTATCTCTGTTTGGAGGAGTCCAATCTTCGGCATCATTTATTCGCACTGCATGTTGAAGAAGCGTCATTTACATGTGCCCATTGTAAGATTAACCTCAAAATGGATATTGAGGGTTACCTCAAACACCTCAAACTTCACGATTTACATCTSTACAAGTGTTCACATTGTTCATTTGTGCATAATTTACGTCATAAAGTTGATAAACATGCCGGGGATAAGCATCCCGATAAAACAACCAATACTATCACAGTGCGGGCTTTAGAGGCGGAGCTTCTTGAAAATGACCAATCAATAGCACCCGTAGGCGTGACTAATATCAAATGGACTAAACCCTGGCATTGTGGTATGTGTAAATATCGATGTGCTGCAAAAGATGATATTGTCACACATATTTTCAACAAACATGATATTAATACACAATTTAAATGTACGTTATGTTCGTATAAAACAAATGAACGGAAGACGTTTAGTGGACATTTTAAAGAAAATCATCCTGATAATGACATTGATATTATTTATGTTTACTATAAGAGTGTTGAAGGGGCGACGTCAACAAGTGGGCAGAAACAATTCGATACCACGCCTCTTTGGCAACGTGATAGGCCAAGAGTGCGTCATATTCGTGGCATTCTATTTGAAGAAACGCCCCAAAAAGGCAAGAAATTGGTGACGGGGCGTGTCCCAATAACTAGTACGCCCTCCACGTCGGGTACTTCAAATCTAGACCTAGCGATTGAAGCCGTAGCTAAAGGCACCGATGAGTACACATCCGATAAAATGGAAGAAACGAAAGAAGAATCCGTGATTTTGATCGATGATGAAGAAGAAGATAATGAAGAAGTGGATGGTGAATTGATGATTGACGTGGAGAAAGTTAAAAGTGATGAAGAAAAGGAGTATTTGAGTGAGGAGAAGTTGATGCAGAAATATGGGATGTTGTGTTTACCGATGAATCGGTCATTCAAGTGTCCTATTTGTTTCAAATTCAAGACGAAGAAAATTTCCTATTTTGTATACCACATTTTGGGGGAGTTGAAGTGTCAAAGGTGAGGGTTTTTAACACAAATGTGATTTTTTACKACTTTGTCGTAGGTACAAATGTAAGGTTTGCGACTTTGGGTGTATCACTATGGACACCATGTTGTCACATTGTCTGGATGTTCATGACAGTGTTGCCACTGATAGCATCACCGATATACCACTCGATCAAACAGTGGAATTTTGGCTTCAAATGTTGATTAAATATCAAGCGAAGGCTCTGGTCCAAGGGGCGAATCTACCAATGGGTGAAGAGGCCACTTCGGGGGCTTTCAAGACCCAGTGTTTGTATTGCCCACGATGGTACCCCACCAAATCCTTTAATAAATCAAAATTTTACCATTTTTCTTGTAGGTTTAAGAACATGTTCATGTGTAAAGAACACGAATTGTGTCATTGGGCCGAACACACTTACGTTTGTGGTCATTGTTTTTCCGAACATGGCACTCTGGATGACTTATTCCAGCATACTTTTTTGGTCCATTCGGCTTGTGAGCCGTCATTGGTCACGAAAAACGGTCCATTTGTGAGTAAAGTGATCACTAGTTTGAAAAGTCCCCCAGTTGGGGCGCTCCAAGGGGGCGCCGATGAGGTACTCTACGCGTGTGTTTACTGTTCTGAAGTGAAGAAGAGTTTCGACGGTTTGAAACACCACTTTAGTGAGTGTCACGAAAGTTCGAATTTTTGCTACAAGGTGGTGACAAGGTCGCGAGTTGAAGTGATGTATTGTTGTTCGTATTGTCACGAAAGGGGCTCGGATAAGCACCTAAAAAAGCACCATAGTGAGAAACATGAAGGGCTGAAGTTTAGTATTTATCAGTATATTTGTCTCGAGTGTTCTGGCACTTATTTGAATATCAAAGATTTGAGGAAACATTTTAGTGTGACTCATGTTGGGAAGAAACTCACTTATAGTTGCGTTGAGAGTAAACAAGGGGGCGCCAAGGAGCAGTATTGTTGTAGCAAGTGTCCGTTTCGAAGTTGCAGTGTTGGGGGGATTCGCAGTCATGTTCGGAAGCATTTGCGACCGATTGATTGTCTCCGATGTGGGGCGACGTTTATTTATCCGACGGAGGCGCGCGCTCACCACAATAAGGAGCATCCAGAGAGTGTGGAACAAGTCGAGGAGAATGCAAACAGGTTGAAGGAGTATGAAACAATGGTGCAGGAGATTGTGGCGGCGAAAGCGACTCCTGTTAGGAAAATGTTGGCGCGTAAGTCGACGGGGGCCCCATTTGTCAGGAAGGAAGAGACGGATTTGGGGAGTATTACGACGACTATTGAGGTTAATACAGTTACGACGAGGATTAGTGTTGAACAGTTTAGTAATCTTTTCAATATTTTTCCAGTAGTCGAATTGCGGGATTGTCAAAATAGGGGCTCTTGACGAAACGTGATGTTTTGTGACGATGAGGATTTTTCCATGGAGGAGCTTTTTGATACGATTATCAGTCAAATTCCAGATAATGTCATTGTGCAACTCATGGAGGAAAGTTCAAACCAAAAAGAGGATTAATTTGTATATTTCATTAGGTTAATTTTTATAAGATGTAAAAGCGTACCGGATTTTTTTAATAAGATTAATAAATCAGGCTCATTATGATAGGACTAATTGAAAAAAACAATTGTTTCAATACTGAAAAATATTATTTTTATTAATCGGAAACCTCGTTATCCCTTATGATCCCTTTGTTTTAAAATATCTGCATCCATCAAGAAGCCTGTCTGATCAAGCTCAAGATGGTCCACGTGGTCAATGAATACCATCATTAATGGGCTAACCCTTTAAGGAGCAAATTAGAAATAGAAATGGATTCACTTCAGAATCAGGAAAAATCTGAAAAAAAATTAAAATATCAGAAGTAGGTATCAGGATCACAGATATGCAAGAGGTATTAAATTAAAAAAAAATAATTTTTGCTAAAAATTGCAAATTTCAAAATATTCAGGATCACATTAACCAAATATTAGAAGCAAGTATTGGGATCAGAGAAACACGAAGAGGTATTTCAAATTAAAAAAAAATTCCCGCCAAAATCTGCAAAATTTCTAAATATCAGGGGCACAGAAATGTGAGGAGGCATTCCACATTTTTAAAATTGAAAATTTAGCAATTTTTCCAAATATTAATAGAAACGCGGAGAGATATTTCAAATTTAAAAATTTAGGTTTTCCCGCCAAAATCTACAAAATTCAAATTTTTTTGAAATATCAGGACTATAGAAACTTCGTGATTTTTGATTTAGGAAATGATCAATAAATAACCCCAACGATGACAAATTCCCTGTCTTCCGCAAGTTTATTCACCTTCGAATACTTGTCATCGGAAAATGAATTGTTTTGTTGATTGGGGGCTTACATAATGACATATGAATCCATAAAAGTACTTTTTTAAGACTTCATTACATACGAGGATATTTCCATGGAAAATTCACTTAGGTTAGATTGGTAAGAGTAACTGATTGTTTTTTCTATAATTGAAAATAAACGTTTATTGAACAATACAAAAAACGATTTATAAAAATTGAAAAAAGTAACAAACTTATAACGCGTATTCTTTTTTGATTAGCGAAAATCCGTCGTGGTCTCTCGCCACCCTATAGAAGAAGGGCACGCCTTGTGCTCTCGTGAGGGTATTTATAAACTCCTCATCGTGCGTGATAACCACTAATTGAAAATTCTTCTCTTTCTCCCTAGACTCCACAATCCTTGCTAAAGCCTCACACAAACTATTTGTATTCTCCCGATCTAAATTCGTTGTTGGTTCATCCAACGCCAAAATGCCACAATTTGCACTCAAAGTTTCAGCTAACGCCATTCTTATAATCAAACAAGCTAACACTTTTTGTCCAGCACTGCAACGCCCTCTCATCTCCAACTCGACTCCTTGTTTCACTTGAACCACACTGTAGTTGTATGTGCGTTTTCTGGTGGCCCCTGTAGAACTCGCATGCCCTGCTTTGATCTCAATATAATCAATATCATTCCCCCTGTATATATCTCGCCACATTTCYCTTATCGTATTATTAATTTGCTTCATTCTCGCAGCGTGAAAATCAAGAATAGACTTTTCCAAAACAGTTATATATTTGAATAAATCCTCGATTACAACTTCGACCACTTTTAATTCATACAACTTCGTCATATAGTTGTTGTGGGCGTTGGCACTTTCTGGTTCTGCGAGTTGGCGACGCAACTCTTCGATGTTTTCAGAAAGAGCGTTTTTCTCACCCCTTAGATTGTTTATTGATTTTTCGTAGTTTTCCTTTTGTCTGATTAATTGAGACTTTTCCTCGTACACTGAGTTGTAATTGTAACCACCGATCTGTTTCCTCAAATCCTCAATCTTTGCGTTTAATKCCACCTCGATGGCTTTTTTCTGACGTAAAGTTACGTTACTTTGCAACGTCCGGAAACGCAACTCGGATTTACTCAATCCCTCTTTCTTGTCGGAAATCAATTGCGAAATTTCGGTTTTAACTCCTGCAAGCTTCACATCCTTTTGTCTAAAGTCCCTCAAAATGTCCTCAATTTGAACCAACTTTTCCTCAACTCCGTTACTGAAATAATTCTCGATTTCTTTCTGAAGCTTCTCGATGTCTTGCACCAGAATTGTGAAAGTGCTCAATTCCTTGCGTTCTTTCTCAATCAGAGTTTTATTTTCTTGTACCAGCGACTTTTTTCTAGCTTCAATATTCCCCAAATCCTCTTCCAAAAGGTCCAATTCAGTCTTTTTCACTTCTATTTCCTCCTTCAAGCTTTGTAGTTTTTCACACACTTCGCTTTTTTGTGCTTCGAGATTTGGCCGATTCTTCATTTTGTCCTTCATAATCAGTTGTTTTTCATACAATTGATTCCTTTCTTGAGTCAATTGATGGATTCGGTCCTTATGACTGCTAATTTTTTTCGTTTCGGCGTCAATTTTTCGTCTCAATTCATTCAATTCCGCTTTGATTGAGTCAATTTCAGCTTCAATTTCCTGTTTGGATTTATTTGAAGGGACTTGGGACAACTTCCCCTTCAATTCCTCGACTGTTTTCCGTGATTTATCAACATCGGCTTGATTCTGATCCAATGTGCTGACATCGGAAATGAGAATTTTTGAAATTTCCAAAATTTTCAACGGCTCACAAGTCTTTTTATTCAACGTGTCCAATTCTGACTTTTTCGCCTCTAAATTACGCTTAATCTCGTTGAGATTTGTCTCAAGTTGAGGCAACTTCTCCTTGGACAAAACACGAATTTCGTCATTGACAACTTTCAATTGTTGGAGTTTGTTGTATAAAGCTTCCTCTTCTTGCAATTCGGCCTCAACTTTGGTCAATTGTTGAGGGACTTTATCTAGTTTACTTTTCAACGTTGTTTTAATCTTATCAATGATGGAGGTTTTACCCGAGAAATTTGTTTCACAAACTGGACAACACGGTTTCTCCTCTTCAAACTTTCTTATATATTGGGCGTAAATAATTTTAATTGAATTGTAATTTCCCTTGTCGAATTGCAAACGTTCCTTCTTTTGGAAACAACGCTCCAAGACTTCATTAAAATCACAACCGTTGCAAACCTGTGAAATTTTCTCACGATTAAGCCTCAATTCCTCTTGACACAAGTTGATTTTCTCAATTTGATTATGTAATTGAACCTCGAGAGTTGTCACCTCCTTTTGTTTTTTATTCAATTGTTCGGTGAGTGTTTTGAGTGTTAAATCTGCAGTTTTTTGTTTTGCCAACACTGAGTCTTTTAGATTCGTTTCAGGGGGCGACCCAAACAASACTTTGAGACTCTCCAAATGYTTGGTTTTAATCCGATTAATTTCACGTTGTTTTGCCAAAATTAAATGTTTCTCACTTTCGATTTTTCCCTCAGTTGTGTCATTTTGTAGGAGAATTTTATATTCCCGTTCTAGAATATCTAGATTGTRTTCCAGTGTTGTAATTTCACTCCGACGTGACTCATTTTTTTGAGTTTCTTCTTCTTCGTGAAACGTGTTTCGCAAATTGTAAATTGTCTTATCAATGGMTGCCAGACGTTTATCAAAATCCTCAAGGAACCCCTCGGAGGACAACATTGTGTTCAACTCAAATGAAATACTCTCGATTTTTTGCTCACATTCTGTCATTTCGCGAGTTTTTGAGCTTATAGTTTGCTCAGTTTTGATGACTTTGCCTCGAACATCATCAATAGACGCTTGAACTGTCATCAAATCTAACTCTTTCTCTTCGATAAGTGCATCTAGTGAGGCCTGGCGGTCACATTTGARCTGATTTAAGGCTTGTTTCGCCCCCTTGTCATCCTCAAAGTTTGTAATTCTCACACCAAACTTATCCACAGCTTGGGCAAGTAATTTTTTYCGTTCGTCATTTTTCTCCAAATAGTGATTTTTTTGTTGATTTAAGCGCCCCAAATCGGTTTGGAGATTTTGAACAGCTTCATTAATTTCCTTGATTTTAGTATCAACATCGTTTTTTCGTTTTAGTAAATTCTCGATCAATGTTTCGTCTTTTTGACGGTCAGTTTCAAACGATTTGATTTTCTCCTGCAAGTCGTTGTCACTCCCATCAAATTCGAAAGCAAGATTTTTTTTAATACTTCCTTGCTCTTCAACAAGACTAATTCTTGTTGCTTCTTTGGCCGCTAAATCGCGTTCTAGCCCCCCTAGAACYTTCTCCACTTCTATGATTGCCTCAAGACGGTTTTTGATCGGTTGTAATTGAATCGTTTTAGTGTCAATTTCGGTATCAAAGGACCTGAGTTTGTCTTCCTTATCTTGTAAGTTACGTTTGTCTTTTTCYACTTGTTCTTTCTTTTCCTTTTTGTGCTCAACCTCCAATTTCAGTAACTTAATTTTGCCTTGTCTATCTTTCAATGCTTTGCGATAGATTTCGACGCATTTGTTTGACTGTTGGGCATTAAAAATTTCGTCGAATTTTTCTTTAAGTTTCTTTCCTTCGTCCAAAGGCCACGCAGCGTTTTCCTGGTGACAAAAAATCACATTGTTGAGGATTGAAGGCGAGACGTTCATAATTTGACAAAATTCATTTGTTATGTCTGCACATCGGCCCGAAATGCTTCTATCTTCGCCATTTGGCGTCACGATTCGAATAGTTCCCGGCATTGAGTTGAATTTTAGTTTATTTTTGTCCGAGGTTTGGGTCACTTCCATAATGCGAGAAACCGTAACAGCGTTGTTTTTGGGGTCGACGATTCGTAATTTGATTTGGCCTTTAGTGCTGGTCTTAGATGTCATTTTGGGGTCGTTGAGAAAACCTTGACCACTGTTAGTCCCTTCGGGAATGTTGGCGGTCATTGCGTATTTGATGGCTTCAATAATTGTGGTTTTACCAGAACCATTCTGGCCTAGAATTAGGGTTAAAGGTGTCGCGAATTTTAAGGTTTGACAGTGGTCCTCGTCGGGGCCGAAGCTGCGGATGCCCGAAATTTGCAGTTTTTCCAGAGTTGCCATCGCTGAAAATATACAGTATGATGAAAAAAGGCGCCCGTGTTAACCCACACGTTATAAGTGATCTTTTATTAAAGACGAATTCGAAGACCAAAATTGGATTTGTGCTCTTATCAGTAAGATATAGACTTTCCTTTTTAGAAAAGAGAAATCTATATAATTAACAGTTTTAAAATAATTTCATTGTTAAAGTCTAGATTTTGATATTGTTGACGGTGTTCTTAAAAAATGTGTAAAAAGTCTATTGAAATAAACTTTATTGAAGATGTTAGGATAYCATTTCTTGGCTCCAAAGAAAATTTATCAATGTTGCAACATTGCAAATATCCTAGGATACAGAGAAAATGTCCAAGTAATATTCAATTACTGGAAACGGTAGCAACAAAAAAATCAATTTTCAATGTTGTTTGTTCTGTGAAATTTGAACGATTAAAGTCAAAAAGGTTTCCTAGATACGAAAAATACCTGAGTGAAATAGTTTTTTAGTAAAAGAAATTTGTGCAATATTGCCGCTTTGTGCTGTTAGACAAACTGTTTAAATTTTAAAAAGAATCTATTTAGACTATTTTTGGAATGATGGTCACAATGTTTCAGTAAAAAAGAACGCGCCTGTTTCAATCGTRGRGGCATTTTTGATCAGCCTGTATAATATGAGAAAAAAATCAAGGAAAAATCGACTCACCTGATTTTGTATGAAAATAAACTAAGAGCTCTCGCGACTATTCAATGCAACTCTTGACTATTTTAGACGTTTCTGAAAGTAAGAATTGATAAGAAACATGGAAAAAAAGTAACAAAAAATTGGTCTTACTTTTGTGACAAAAAACTCGAAAAWTTTCATAAAGTTAATAAATGAATCGTAAAAGAGTTATGTAACACATTATTAACAAAACAGAGGCTCACAATACTGTTTTACAATACTGTTTTTACAGAGATAAAATTTAAGGTTACCTTCATCGTTAGAATTTGAAAAAACAATGGTTSGTATCACTGGAACCTGACTTACCGACCGGATTACCTCCATAATAAAAAATCAAGGAAAAAATTGACTTCCCTGATTTTGTAAGAAAATAAACTAAGGGCTTTCGCGACTATTCCAATACAAATCTTTTAGACGTTAGGAAGTAAGAATTGATAAGAAAAATTGAAAAAAAAAAACAACAAAAAATTGGACTTACTTTTGTGACAAAAAAACTCGGTAATTTTCATAAATTTAATGATCAATGAATCGTAAAAGAGTTATGCAGTACACTGTTAACGAAAAAGAGGTTCAATATACTGATAAAATTTAAGGTTTGAATTTGAAAAAAAAAATGGTTGGTATCTGTGGTACCTGACTTACCGATCAGATTACCTCCAAAAATAATAAATCAAGGAAAAATCGACTCACCTGATTTTGTAAGAAAATAAACTAAAGATTCTCGCGACTATTCCAATGCAACTCTCGACTATTTTAGGCGTTTCTGAAAGTAAGAATTGATAAAAAACATGGAAAAAAACTAACAAAAAATTGGCTTAATTTGTAACAAAAAACTCGGTAATTTCCATAAATTTAATGAAAAATGAGTCACAAAAGAGTTATCTAGCACACTATTAACGAAAAAGAGGCTCACAATACTGTTTTTCAACACAATTTTTGATATTATTTTACCGAGATAAAATTTAAGGTTATCTTCGTTGTTTGAATTTGAAGAAACAATGGTTGGTATGGTACCTGACTTACCGACCGGAAGGGAAAAAATTGACTTACCTGATTTTGTAAGAAAATAAACTAAGGGCTGTCCCGACAATTTCAACGCAAATCTTGACTATTTTAGACGTTTCTGAAAGTAAGAATTGATATTAAACATGGAAAAAAAACTAACAATAATTTGATCTTACTTTTGTGACAAAAAATTCGGTAATTTAATAAATTTATTCAACACCTTACTGACCGGATTACCTCGAAAATAATAAATAAATCAAGGCAAAAATTGACTTACCTGATTTTGTAAGAAAGGGGCTCCCGCGACTGTTCCATTGGAAATCTTGACTATTTTACACGTTTCTGGAAGCAAGAATTGATAAGAAACATGGAAAAAAAAACTAACCAAAAACTCCACTTACTTTTGTAAAAAAAACTCGGTTTTTCATAAAATTAATGAACAATGAATCGTGAAAGTGTTATGTAGCACACTATTAACGAAAAGAGGCTCACAATACTGTTTTTCAGCACAATTTCTGATATTATTTTACAGGGATAAAATGTAAGGTTAGGTTATTTTCGTCGTTCGAATTTGAAAAAACAATGATTGGCATCATTGGTACCTGACTTACCGGCCGGATTACCTCCAAAAACAATAAATAATTAATAAAAAGTCAGAAAAATTGTAGACGTGCCAATAATGCGTTTAATATTATAAAAATAAATTTTTGATCAAAACTGTCTATTTTTTCCTTTCTTGAGCCAAGTTTTAGTAAATTTCTTGTACTTGTGTTGGTCGTATTGCAGAAAACTGTAATTCCGTTGTACAGGCGTAAAATTTAAAAAATCACATTGAGACTTTAAAATATCTCCTAAATCGTTAACAAATCGAAAACACACTTTTTGTCTTATATACAGTGCTAACAAAAATAAAGAAAAAAAAAGATATTTTTAAGGCGTCAAAAACCGTAAAATAGCCAAATTTCAGGTGCGTTTGTTGTGAATTGCTGAAAATTCGCTTTCATGTTTTTTAATTTCAAGGAATACAGGAAATAATAAACACATTTTTGTGATTTTTAAGAATTTTTTATTGATAATTGACAACTGACATTGGCGCACTAATGGCCCCGAAATGTCAAAATTTTGGAAAAAAAATCAAATTATTCCTCCCTTGTTTGATAAATAAAGTCAGTCCGGTCCTGGCTTGGCGGCCAATTAGCCCACACCCATCTGCCCCACGGTTCATAACCCAACAAAATTTCAACTCAAAWCGAGCACTCGAACGAAATTTCAATGAAAAAACATGTAAATTGTATGCAAAAAAAAMATAAATATTCAAGCTTTTGATTGAATTATGTCGACGAAGTGCCAACGTAATTGTTTTCAATTGATTTGGAAAGAAACGGTCGTAAAAAATCGGTGGTGCAAATTTGAGGTTATGTGATTTGGTTTGGTGGAAAAATCGGAAAATTTGCACCATTGGGAACCTTTTCGGTAAGTGGATTGTTTGTTTGTGTGCAGGACCGGTTTTCGGCCTCTTGGTKGGGGCTAAACTGTTTACAATCAAAAATTTGGAAAATTTTAAGTGCACTTGTACTGGAACTAATTATTGTTTAAAACCCATAATGGGCAATTAACGGGCAGTTTACGGTCAGTTTCCAAATGTTTTCGTCGATGATTTGTGGCTTCAGATATGTCCGTAAAAAAATTTATGGTAAAAATTTAATTTAACCTCTAGCATTAATTAATATTCTTTTGTGTGTTAATTACGATTTGATTCAAATTTTTTCGGGGTGAGGGTTATAAGAAATACAAGAAAAATCCGAACACGTGACCAAAAACACTGCTTTTCAATTATTTCAAAGGTGAGTGACAATCGCATCATCTATGAATGAAATAACTGTTTTTCTTCCGACTCATCACAAAAGAATTTCTATCACTGTCTAATTCATTCCAATCAAAGATAATAGACGAAAAAACGACAACAAACACGAGTCAACAACATTGCTGGCCGGTGATTGGCCGAGCGACGTCAGCAGTTGTCGAAAACGTCACGTGATTGGTCGGATTCGAACATGCCACATGTGTGACAGTGACGGCTACGATTGTATATTTGGTTGCCTAACTTGGTGAAAATTTTGATAAAAATCGCGACCTTTGATAAGGCCCGTGATGGTATCGAACAATACCAATTATTTTGGACCAATCCGAGCACGTGTTGCGTGCATCTCGAAAAATGATTGATAAGAGAGTGTTTTGGTCATTCGTTCGACACGCGGCTTATCAACGACTTTTCTCTTCAAATGTCGTAACAAGGGTACCAATAACAAGGTTATCGAATCGACTTTAGCGAATTTTCTATAATTTTAATTCAGTTGCTTCGATGGCCTTTGTGATGGATGTTGAGTTTAATTAGTTTTATGTTGAGTCAGTTTTGGGATAAATTCTGGGAGAAAACCGGTGAGATTTATTTTTATTCTAAATATTTTTTGGAAAAATCGAGTTATGTAATGTTTTTTTCTTGCAAATAAAGACAAAAGTACAGTTAGGGGACGCACAATGTCATTTAAGTGTGGATTTCTAAGGGCGCGTTAGTTTTGAAGTGAACTGTACTCGCGTGAGTTGATTCAATTTGACGGTATTGTTAGTGTAATAAGTAGCTGTTTTYATTAAATTGCACGATTTGGGTAATTTTCTCATTATTTTTCATAATATGAAATATTTGGTTTTGATTGTCTTTTTATTTTTATTGTTTTTTATTATTCTTATTTTTGTGCTGAAACAGCTGTTCAAACACCGAAAAGGTAATTTTTTATTATTATTGATGTAATCACAATAAAATTTTATGGTGTACAAGTAAAACGTTCTATTTTGTACTCTTGTCAATTGCAAGTTTTTTATTTCTGATTGGTTTTCCTTGTTTTTTATCTTCAAAACGATTTTATTAATCTGGACTTTCGATCCAGACAACTAGATCTACAACTTATTTTTTWAATGACACTTTTTTCTTTTATTTTACTTGAAAATTAACTCAAAAAACATGTTTTTAAATGGAGTATACAAGGTGTAGCAAGTTTTATCCACACCCCCTATATTTTCGTTTCGTACAATTTTTTTCTATTAAAATTTTTGCAGATTTATTTTGTTACGCATTTTTGATCACTTGGTGGTAAAATAATAAGATATTTTTGCCAAATTGTTTTTTTTTTAATTTGTTAACTTTTTCCGTTGTAATTTTTATTCTTGCTAATTGTAAGTTTTTTTTTTTGTTTTTGGTTGATTACCTTGTTTTTTTTATCTACAAAAGTTTTTTTTTAATCGGAACTTTCTGTCCAGACAACCGGATTTAAACATTTAAAACAGTTTTTTAATGTCTAAATTTTTTACTGTAAAAATGTCATTTTTTTTGACCCAAAAAATCATGTTTTTTAAATGGAGTATACAAGGTGTAGCAAGTTTTATCCACACTCCCTATATTTTGGTTTCTTACAATTTTTTTCTATTAAAATTTTTGCACATTTATTTTGTTACGCATTTCTGATCACTTCATGGTAAAATAATAAGATTATTTTGCCAAATTGATTTTTATTTTAATTCGCTAACTTTTTCCCTAGTAAAGTTAATTTTTATTATTATTGCTAATTGTAAGTTTTTTTTTGTTTTTGATTAATTTCCTTGTTTTTTATCTACAAAGTTTTTTTTAATCTGAACTTTCTGTCCAGAAAACTAGATATAAACATTTAAAACAGTTTTTTTTAATGTCAAATTTTTTTACTGTAAAAATGTAATTTTTTTCTTTTATTTTACTTGAAAATTAACACAAAAATGATGTTTTTTAATGGTGTATACAAGGTGTAGCAAGTTTTATCCACACCCCCTATATTATGGTTTCTTACAATTTTTTTCTATTAAAATTTTTGTTAAATAAAGTTTTTATTTTGTTACGCATTTCTGATCACTTGATCGTAAAATAATATTTTTTTTTGCAAAATTGTTTTTTTTTTAATTTGTTAACCTTTTTCCTAGTAAAGTGAATTTTTATTATTCTTGCTAATTGTAAGTTTTTTTTCGTTTTTGATTGATTTCCTTGTTTTTTTTATCTACAAAAGTTTTTTTTCTATCCAAACCACTAGATTTAAAACAGTTTTAATTTTTTTCTTTAATTTTACTTGAAAATTGAGCCAAAAAATCATGATGATTTTAAACTGGAGTATACAAGATGTAGCAAGTTTTATGCACACCCCTTATATTTTGGTTCCTTACAATTTTTTTCTATTAAATTTTTCACAGATTTATTTTTTACGCATTACTGGTAAAACAYTGAGAATTTTTTGGAAATTGTTATGTTTAACCTTTTTCCTAGTAAAATTAATTATCAATTTAATTAGAACAAGATGTTTTGAAGGGGCGRGTAAAAATTGTGTCACCCGGTATAAAAAAAAATAATCAACACGATAAAATATCTTGATTATTAGTTAATCGCTGTTATTTGCATACTTGTTACTATTATTGTAACAATTTTTTTTTTAATATTTACATGTTATATGACAAAATTACTTGGAGAGATCATGTGGGGTCAATATTATCTTTAGAAAAACAATAACAGCAAAAAAAAATCTTTTAGCAGATTGTCAACTGTACAAAATKACAATTTATTATCATATTACAGTTTATGAATCAATATTTACACATCGCRCGTAGATGTTAGAAAAAAAAACAAACAATCACTATTCTCTCCCAGCCGACTATCGACCCGACTCAAGGTCACARTTATTGAAAATTTCCAGAAAAAACATCGTCGGACTCCGACACATCTTGGCAAAAAATCGACCTCGAAGAAGTGAAAAAAGAAAAAATGGCCGAAACGGACAAAACGATCGAAAATGGCGTCCAATGGACTTTGGGGGACGAAAGTAGAGAACAGGAGGACATCTTCCCCCAAAATGGTGATTCTTTCGATAATTTACCACCAGCGGCACGTTCCGACGGCCAAGGGGGCTTCACCCCTCAAGAACAAAAAGCCCTTATGGAGAAACGCAAACGACTCAAGTGAGTGCTCGAATTTAAATTTTCCCGCCATTAGCAAAAAAATTTAATGAGCAAATTTCAAGGCTGGTTGCATTATTGTGTAATTGCTATTGTGACGTATTCGAAAATTTTGGGCCCGATTTTAGTGTCAGTGTCGATATTTTTGAAATTGGTACCAACCTGATGGCTGTAAAAATCCGATTTTTAGCCCATTGTGCACTTAACCATCTGAATCCGGACCTGTCCCACTACCACGTCCACCTGTTGTTGTTGCAAACCCATCGACCAGTAAAATTTCTTTTGAATCAGTTGACGTTTCGTGTTTGCACAGTCGCGTCGAAAATCGATCGASTTGGCCGTGATTCACGCCCGTTTTTGTCAAAATTACCAATTGTTTTTTTATTTAAACTACTAGATTGAGGTGTGGTTTTGTGTGTAAAATGTAAGATCGTGGGAAAGTTAGGTAAATAAAATGTCAACACTTTCGCATGTGGGAAAATTCGAACTGATGGGAAATTGGGCCAGTGGGAATTTCGGAGGTGATCGTGTCGATCAAGTCGTAGCCTTGAAGTGACCCTTTTKGTAATTAAATGTAAAAAKTCAAGTGACACTTGATCACTTTGTTAAAAATAGAATGACAGTTTGCTTTCCGTCATGTTATCACTTATCAGATTAGCGTAATTGGATTAGGAAGTGGTACGACTTTATCAAACGGTCGGACTTTCAGCAAATCAGCTGTTGGAGTTAATTCATTCGATCAATTTTTATCACAAAATAGAGCTTATATTTAATTAATGAATAATTATTTAATCACAAATTGGTTAACAATTAATTTTTTTCTCAAGGTCAAATACATTCAAGACTGCCAACCAAAAAATTTAAGGGAATCTTCCGCTGTTATTGACATTCAGTGTAAAAATAGAATTGATGGTCAAAAAAAGTTGTTTGGATAAAAAATTAATAATACAATATGCGACATGTATCGTTTTTAATTATTTTATGTTGGTATTGACGTCATTTTGACGTTTCAAAATTTGATTTGAATACTTTTGGGGTCAAGGTTGGTTAAAATATGTCAAATTTTGACAGTTTTCTAATCACAATAGCTACAAAAACCCCCATTTTGACATTATATCCAGATAACTAGATTTACATTTTTTTCAAAAGTGTATTTTCTCGTYTTAATATTACTATTGTAGTGTTGCCACAACTATTAAAACACTAAAATTTTCTCATAGTTWTAAGTACAGTTACGGAATTAAAATTTCGGGCAGTATTTTTCTGTCACATTAAAAAGTTCACTGTAAACTACCTTTTACTGTCATCATGACTGACATTTGACAATCAAACTTTTTTGCTGTTGTTAATATTCTTAATTAAACAGTTTGTCTGTCTTAGGAAATTTATTAATTGAACTAAGTGCAATTAAATCAGCGCTTTGATCTGCTGCCTGCCCGTTATTATGCCACAAATCACTRTTTTTGAAAATAAATAAGTCCAAATGACATAAACATGACAAGAGTATAAAATGAGGTTATTAATGTAAAGGTTGTTTTAGAGTTTACATTATGAAAATGACAATACTGCCCGAAATTTTTATTCCGCAACTGTACTTTAAAACAATTTTTTAAATTGTTTCGTTGATTTACTTAAAAAATGACAAAGTAGTCGGACGAATATGTCAAAGTTTATTATGCTGAATGACAATTGATTGACAGTAATTACCAGAGTTGACTTTTCCCAATAATGTTGTTAAACACAAAAAACTGACAAATAGTAAAAAAAAGACAATCGGTGACTTCTTCATTCTTTCCAGAATAACTCTCTTATGGGCACTTTACACGTCTGTCAAAGTGTCAAAATGTTAAGGGAATCTTCCACTGTTATTTACGTTGAATGGAAAAATAGAATTAATGGTCTAAAAAGTTGTTTGGATAAAAAAATAATGTATTTTTAATTATTTTATGTTGGTACTGGCATCATTGCTGTTTCAAAGTTTAATTTGAATACATTTGGGGTCAAGGTTGGCTAAAATATGTCAAACCTTAACAGTTTTCTAATGACGTTTAATTGAAAATAGCTCTAAAAAACGCATTTTGACATTCTATCCAGATAACTAGATTTACATTTTTTCAAAAGTGTACTTTCTTTTGTTTTAATATTACTATTGTAGTATTGTAGTAGTATTGTGTTGTGTTGTATTTTAGTATTGTAGAACTATTAAAACAGTGAAAATTTAAAGCATTTTTTTCCCCAAATTTTTAAGTATATAATTTTTTTTTAATTGATTTGCATTACGAGTATGTCAAAGTTTGACATTTTCAAGTGCATAAATGACAGTAATTGACAGTAATTACCAGAATTGACTTTTCCCACGTGATAGTGTTGTCAAACACAAAAAATTGACAAACTGTCAAATAAATGACAATCGGTGACTTCTTGATTCTTTCCCGAATAGCTTGAATGGCACTTGACMATTTTTGAGCACTTTACACGTCTGTCAAAGTGTCAAAATGCTAAAACGTCCATTAAATCGTCGAAATAGCAAACGTTTCGTCATCGGTGACGAAGAAGAGGAAGTAACACCACCGGAAATAGAGATAACAATAGCTGAAAATGTTGACATCGACACTGACACTAATGAAAATGTCCAATCATGCGATTGGATGGCTGCATCGTCACGCCTCCAACCCGGAAAAACGCTCACGTAAGTGGCGGGAAAATTMAAAAAATTGACATTTTATTTCAAAAAAAAAAATAAACGTCAAATGTGGTTTTTTCGAAGGCCGAGTATGTCACAAGGGACTGTCATGATACAAAATCGCCTCCAGGAGAAAGATTTCACTGTTGCCACACCAGAGGAATTTGTTAAAAGATTCAACGGGACCAAAGTCATCAATAAAGTGAGTTTTGATTCAAATTTGGCGCGTCACAAAGTGGCGGTAAATTCGAATTTTTCCAGGTTTTGATCGCGAATAATGGCATTGCTGCTGTTAAATGCATGCGTTCGGTGCGTCGTTGGTCATACGAAATGTTCAAAAACGAACGTGCGGTCCGTTTTGTGGTCATGGTCACACCTGAAGACCTCAAAGCCAACGCCGAATACATCAAAATGGCCGATCACTACGTCCCAGTACCTGGGGGTACCAATAACAACAATTACGCCAATGTGGAACTCATCGTCGATATCGCGACTCGCCTCCAAGTCCAGGCSGTTTGGGCCGGCTGGGGGCACGCCTCCGAAAACCCCAAACTCCCCGAACTCCTCCACAAGAACGGTATTGCCTTCATCGGCCCTCCCGATAAGGCAATGTGGGCATTGGGCGACAAAATCGCCTCGAGTATTGTCGCCCAAACTGCAGACATCCCCACTCTTCCATGGTCAGGCTCCGAACTCAAAGCCCAATACACGGGGAGGAAAATCAAGATATCGTCGGATTTGTTTGCAAAAGGGTGTGTCCAAACGGCGGAACAAGGCTTAGCAGCGGCGCAAAAAATCGGTTTTCCGGTTATGATCAAGGCGTCAGAAGGTGGGGGAGGAAAAGGTATCCGGAAAGTGGAAAATGCTGATGATTTTCCGGCGGCTTTTCGACAAGTTCAAACCGAAATTCCCGGTTCTCCCATCTTTGTCATGAAACTAGCTAAGTGTGCCCGCCATCTTGAAGTCCAATTATTGGCCGACCAATACGGAAACGCCATTTCACTCTTTGGRCGTGATTGTTCGATTCAACGTCGCCATCAGAAGATTATTGAAGAAGCACCGGCGGTTATAGCCGTCCCTGATGTTTTTGAAGATATGGAAAAAGCTGCAGTCCGATTGGCTAAAATGGTGGGTTATGTGTCAGCCGGTACTGTTGAATATCTCTATGACACTTCGGGYCATTACTACTTCCTGGAACTTAATCCGAGACTTCAAGTCGAACATCCATGTACCGAAATGGTGTCAGATGTGAATCTACCAGCAGCACAATTACAAATTGCTATGGGTTTACCATTACACTACATTAAAGACATTCGTTTGTTGTATGGGGAATCCCCGTGGGGTAATTCCGAGATTGATTTTGATAAACCAAGACATAAACCCCAACCATGGGGTCATGTAATAGCCGCTCGAATTACTTCCGAGAACCCTGATGAGGGTTTTAAACCGAGTTCGGGAACAGTTCAAGAACTCAATTTCCGGTCATCGAAAAACGTCTGGGGGTACTTTTCCGTTGCGGCATCTGGCGGCTTACACGAATTTGCTGATTCACAATTCGGTCATTGTTTCTCATGGGGTGAAAATCGTGAACAAGCAAGAGAAAATCTAGTAATTGCTTTGAAAGAATTAAGTATCAGAGGTGATTTTCGCACAACAGTTGAATATCTAATCACATTGCTTGAAACGAAGAGTTTCCAAGAGAATTCCATTGATACAGCTTGGTTGGATATCCTCATTAGTGAAAAAGTTGAATCAGAGAAACCCAATGTGATGTTGGGTGTGATTTGTGGTTCTTTACACATTGCTGATAAGACAATAAGTACAGCATTTGAAGAGTTTCAAAATTCTTTAGAACGAGGACAAATTCAAGGTTCCAATACCTTGACTAATGTTGTAGATGTTGAATTGATACATGGTGGTAACAAATATAAAGTCCAAGCTACTAAAAGTGGTCCCAACACTTATTTCCTCATGATGAATGGTACTTTTAAAGAGATTGAAGTACATAGATTGACAGATGGTGGTATTTTACTGTCAGTTGATGGTTCCTCGTTTACTACATATATGAAGGAGGAAGTCGATCGGTATCGTATCGTAATCGGGAACCAAACTGTTGTTTTTGAGAAGGAAAATGATCCGACAATTTTACGCTCACCTTCAGCCGGTAAACTCATAAGTTTTCTTATCGACGATGGCGGCCATGTTGATAAAGGTCAAGCGTATGCCGAAATTGAGGTTATGAAAATGGTAATGACACTAACTTCAAGCGAAAGTGGTAGTATTTTTTATGTGAAGAGACCAGGAGCGGTTTTAGAAGCCGGCTCAACTATAGCATCTTTAGAACTCGATGATCCGTCATTAGTAACCAAAGCTTTACTCTATAAAGGCCCATTCCCCGAATTGGATGTTTCACAACCTATAGTTTCGGAAAAATTAAACCATATCCATAATAGTTACAAAGCTRTACTTGAGAATACCTTAGCTGGGTATTGTCTCCCTGATCCTTACAATGCACCACGACTTCGTGAAGTGATTGAAAAGTTTATGTCAAGTCTTAGAGACCCAAGTTTACCATTGCTTGAGTTGCAACAAGTGATGGCGTCGATTTCTGGCCGGATTCCACCAGCTGTTGAAAAGAAAATCCGCCGACTTATGAGTCTCTACGAAAGGAATATAACAAGTGTTTTGGCTCAATTCCCGAGTCAACAAATCGCCAGTGTTATAGACAGTCATGCTGCTAGTATGCAAAAAAGGACAGAACGAGATGGTTTCTTCCTTGCAACTGAAAGTATCGTTCAATTAGTACAAAGATACCGAAATGGTATTCGTGGTCGTATGAAAGTCGCCGTTCAAGAACTCCTACGACAATATTACGACGTTGAAAGTCAATTCCAGCAAGGTTCCTATGATAAATGTGTAGCACTATTACGCGAAAAACACAAAGATGATATGCAAAGTGTCAGTAATACGATTTTTAGTCATTCACAAGTTGCCAAAAAAAATCTATTAGTAACAATGTTGATTGATCATTTATGGTCAAATGAACCGGGTTTAACCGATGAACTTGCACCGGCTTTAACCGAATTAACTTCGTTGAATCGTAGCGAACATTCCCGAGTGGCACTTCGTGCCCGTCAAGTACTCATCGCTGCACATCAACCCGCCTATGAATTGCGACACAATCAAATGGAGAGTATTTTTCTCTCAGCTGTTGATATGTACGGTCATGAGTTTCATCCAGAAAACTTACAAAAGTTGATAGTGTCAGAAACTTCAATTTTTGATATTTTACATGACTTTTTCTACCATGCAAATCGAGCGGTTTGTAATGCCGCATTAGAGGTGTATGTACGTAGAGCATACACTAGTTATGATATCACATGTTTGCAACATTTAGAATTGTCAGGGGAAGTACCAGTGGTACATTTCCAATTTTTGCTACCACCGACTCATCCAAATCGTTTAATCAAATTAGATGAGTTTAAAGACAGTGAGGATGGTCCAAAAGTGGTTGATACGTTTCAACGGACCGGTTGTATGGCTGCGTTTCAAAATTTCCAAGAATTTGAACAGTATGCTGATGAAATTCTTGATTTGATTGAGGATTTTGCAAATCCGGCGACAATTTCCGCTAAGGATTTGATAGCAATGGAGAGTGGTTCTGAGAGTCGGAACAGTACTTCGATTAATGTTAGTTTGTCATTGGAGGGGCAAAGAGTGGGGGAGGAGAGTTGTATGCATGAACCTATACATATCCTCCATGTGGGGATTAAGGATAAAGGGGATTCGGATGATGGGAGTATGAGTAAAATATTTGGGAATTTCTGTGTGAGACATAAGGAGGAGTTGATCARTCGCGGGATTAGAAGGATTACTTTCGCCGCCTTGAAACACAAACAAAGCCCCAAATTTTTCACGTTTCGAGCACGTGATGATTTCAAGGAAGACAAGATTTATCGGCATTTAGAGCCGGCTTGTGCCTTCCAATTGGAATTGAACCGRATGAGGAATTATAATTTGGAAGCGTTACCAACTTCAAATCAAAAAATGCACTTGTATTTGGGGAAAGCCAAAGGTATTAAAGGGAAAGAAGTGACGGATTATAGGTTTTTCATCAGGAGTATTATAAGACATAGTGATTTGATAACAAAGGAGGCGTCGTTTGAGTACCTCCAAAACGAGGGTGAGAGAGTACTACTTGAGGCAATGGATGAGTTAGAGGTGGCGTTTTCGCATCCACATTCACGTCGTACTGATTGCAACCATATTTTCCTCAATTTTATACCGACTGTGATTATGGATCCGGCGAAGATTGAGGAGGCTGTGACTAGYATGGTGATGCGATATGGGCCAAGATTATGGAAATTGAGGGTGCTACAAGCCGAATTGAAGATGATTATAAGACTAGCACCGAATGCTCCGACTCAAACGATTCGTTTATGTTTGGCTAATGATAGTGGTTATTATTTGGATATTAAYATGTATACGGAGGAAGTGGATCCGGATACGGGAATTGTGAGTATTGAGGATCAAGTAAGGAATTTTGAGGGTTTTTTAGATCAAGTTTAGGGCCTATGGGAAGAAACAAGGACCAATGCATGGTTTGCCCATTTCCACTCCGTATTTGGCCAAGGATTATTTGCAACAAAAACGGTTTCTGGCGCAGTCAGCAGGGACGAGTTACGTTTACGATTATCCAGATATGTTTAGACAAATGGTGGATTTGCAATGGAAGCAATATATGAATCAAAGAATTTCAGGTTAGAATCTTAAATGATCGAGTTGTTTATGACTTTTTTTTTGGTTTTTGTAGAACATATACAACCGCCTGATAAACTTATGGATTTCGTTGAATTGATTCTCGATCCGGAAACTGAAAGTCGACTTATTGAACAAAAACGTGTTCCTGGCGAGAATAATGTAGGAATGGTGGCTTGGCGGCTTACTTTATATACACCGGAATATCCAGATGGCCGTGATATCATTGTTATAGCTAATGATATAACGCATCTGATTGGTTCGTTTGGACCACGTGAGGATAAGGTGTTCGGGTTGGCGAGCGAAATTGCCCGATGTATGAAAATACCAAGGGTAAGTAATTTTATTCTTCGACACTGTCAAAATTTACGGTTTTTCTCCCGTGTAAGGAAGTTTTGACAACTGTTTGGCATTTCTCAATACGAAACGTCAGATTATTTTTAASAGATTTAAAGCAAATTTAAGCCTTATTGAGTCTAATCCGAAGAATAAAATGTTGTATTCAAMTCGTTTGAGTGTAAATTGGACGCTTTATTCCACCCCGGAAGCAGGAATCTTGTGTCACTACGCCACCACGCCCCCGGCATATTTTTCTGCTCTAGACTAATATATTCATGTAAAAATATTAAAAAAAAATAATTTTTGTGTTTCTACGACGTTTTATTCACTTTTAGACCAATTTTGAAGTTTTCAATTTTTAGAATTGTGACAATAATAACTCCGGAATTGTTAGCGACAGCCAGTTATGTTTAGTACCGTTTGAAAGTACTTTTAATTTCCTGTCTTATAAAAAAAGTTCATTGTCCTATGGCAAATAGTTATCGAGAAAATCGCTGATAAATACAATAATAGTAAAATAATAAATCGACGATAACATCTAAACTATCAATAATTTTCTGTTTTCTTCACGCCAATCGATTCCCCGGAACATTTTACATATGTCTACGTCAAAATATTTTATCATTGAGGTACAGTTTTGCCRCAATTTACAAWATATAAAAAAATKGAATTTTTTTGGTAGTGGTGTTGAAATAGTGTTTTTGAACATGTCTCAGATTTATTATCCAACAGATTTTGACGCGCTGATTACGAATTTGCCAAGCTTTTTGCTCTAAGTCTAATAGTTTGGCCGTAATGGTGGTTCAAAAAGTAAAAATCTTCAAAATTTTTAGACTTTAAATGCGTTTTTCTCAGAAACTAAGACAGAGCAAAAAGCAAAAAAACGTCAGAATTTGCTTTAAATTATCTATTTAATGGTGCAAACTCCGGGTTATGGTTCCGGGCATAGAGCCATTTATATTTTTTTTTTCAAAAAAAAAATCATAACTATCTTAAACTATGAGTCCTTGATCAAAACGGTTTCTACAGGCTTATTCTCCGGTTAATTTTACAAACCGGGTGAATAAAAAGTATGGAACCAAGCGTTGTGTAGGGTAAAGTACAATTAAAATGTGACCATTTATCAAGAATAACATTTTTCGAAATTTCTTTTAATTTTCAAGTTTTGGAAAAAAAAATTTAACGGCAACTCACCATGAGATTTTTTTTAATTAAAGATTATGAGCTAAAAATGACCTCTAATTAAATAAAATTGTTTTTTATCCAGTACTTTTTTTTGAATAAATGGTTAAACTTGCGTTCCGAGCTCATCACGAAGATTTTCCGAACTTAATTTTTTTCCAAAACTAGAAAACTAAAAGAAAAATGTTATAAAATGGTTACATTTTAATTGTACTTTACGCTACACTAATTATTTTTTTCGTAAAGTGGTTAGTTTACGAAAAAAACGCTTGGTTTCATACTTTTTATTCACCCGGTATAGTAGGTACAGTTGGAGACAAAATACTTTGGTGGTCCATGTCAATGTTGAGTGACATTAAATTCTAAAGCATGCTTTAGGACTGTTAATTAACCTTATTTTTAGCTGTCAATCATAGTTGACAAGTTGTACATATTTTTGATAGAAAGATATAATAGCTGTTATTAATTTGAAATTGTCATTCATTTTAACGTTAAAGCTTGAATTACATTAAAGTGTCAGAAAAGTGACGACCAAAGTATTTTGTTTCCAACTGTACTAGTTTTTCATAGGAATCAAAAATTTTTAATTTTTTGGTCAGAATCGGATATAGTGCTTATACTTATAGCCTTATTCTTAACTTTATTACTCAATAGCTCAAAAAATTATACATATTTTAACCTGTTGTATCGTGTTCAGCGATTAATTTTGCGTCTATAAAACCATATTTCAAGCGTTTTTATGACTTTTTATTGACTATTCAAAAACTCAAAAAATTCGTAATTTTTTAAACTTGACCAAATAACGTTTTATGCGCTTTTTTGAGTTTTTAAAACCTCTAGAAATGTAAAAATCTTTAAATGGAGCAATTTTAAAGTTTTTTTTTGTCGTGATTTTGGTCGATTTTTTTTTTTTTTTTTGGCACCCGGATCGGACTATTGCCAATAACTCCGGACTTATTGGTGACAACCTCTTATATTTAGTACCGTTGAAAAGAAAATTTAATTTCCTATCATATACAAAAAAGATCAGTGTTCTATAATAAATAGTTATCGAGAAAATTTGTGATAAAGTCAAAAATATCAAAAATTTAAATCCGACTATAACTTCAAAACTACTACGAATTTTGCAGTTTTCTTGACGCCAATCGATTCCCCGGAACATTTTACATGTGTCTACTAGAATATTATATCATTGAGGTACCTACCTACAGCTTTGCCGAAATTTACAAAATAAAAAAAGGAAAAATGTGTTAACACAATCGTCGTTTAAAAAATAAAAATTTTGAAACTTTAAATGGGTTTTTCTCAAAAACTGTAAGACTTAGAGCAAAAAGTAAGTCGCTCCGGGTTACGGTTCCGGTTTTAGTTTTTTTTTTTTAAATAACAACTCGCAAACTAAATATGTGTCTCGGGTAAAAACGTTTTCTACAGACGAATTCTACAAATAATTTGATCAGTAATTTATCAGTTTTTCATAAAACTTATTTTTTTTATTTTTGTAGATTTACTTGGCCGCTAACAGCGGTGCAAGAATAGGCCTGGCCGAAGAAGTGAAAAATTCGTATAAAATCGCCTGGGAGGATAACAACGAACCGGATAAAGGTTTCCGTTATTTATACTTGACTCCAGAAGATTATGCAAAAGTTTCGGCCCAAAATTCAGTCCGTGCTGTCCTCATCGAAGACGAAGGCGAGTCACGTTACAAACTCACCGATATCATAGGCAAAGAAGACGGTTTAGGTGTTGAAAATTTACGATATGCTGGTATGATCGCCGGTGAAACATCACGAGCCTATGATGAAATCGTGACAATTTCCATGGTGTCATGTCGAGCGATCGGAATCGGCTCTTATCTAGTACGACTCGGTCAAAGAGTGATCCAAATTGAAAATTCGCACATTATTTTGACCGGTTATAGTGCCTTAAATAAACTTCTTGGACGTCAAGTTTACGCCTCGAATAACCAATTGGGCGGTATCCAAATTATGTACAATAACGGGGTTTCCCATAAAGTGGAACAAGGCGACCTTGATGGTATCGCCACAATCCTAAAATGGCTCTCTTACGTCCCTAGAGACAAAAACAGTCCACTTCCCGTCATGAAAYCCATCGATCCGATCGAACGCGATGTTGAATTCATCCCAACTAAAGCCCCMTATGATCCACGTTGGATGCTTGAAGGTCGGGYTTCGCCCCTTGACCCCAAAATCTGGGAGAGTGGTTTCTTTGATCGTGATTCATGGTCGGAGATAATGAAACCGTGGGCGCAAACAGTCGTAGCAGGCCGTGCCCGACTTGGGGGAATCCCAGTTGGTGTGATTGCAGTCGAAACAAGAACAGTTGAACTTACTTTACCCGCTGATCCGGCCAATTTGGATTCGGAAGCTAAGACTGTATCGCAAGCTGGACAAGTGTGGTTCCCTGACTCCGCCTACAAAACGGCCCAATCAATTGCCGATTTCTCGCGTGAGGACCTCCCACTTTTTATTTTCGCCAATTGGAGAGGCTTTAGTGGAGGGATGAAGGATATGTATGAAGAAATTATGAAATTTGGGGCGTATATTGTTGATGGGTTGAGACAGTATAGGAAGCCGGTGATTATTTATATACCGCCCAATGGGGAGTTGAGAGGCGGGGCTTGGGCTGTGGTTGATCCGACGATTAATTCACGGTATATGGAAATGTATGCCGATCCGGAATCGAGAGGTGGGGTTTTGGAACCGGAAGGAATTGTCGAAATTAAATACCGGAAGAAGGATTTGTTGAAAACTATGCATAGGATTGATTCAGTTTTGAGGGATTTAGATGAGAAAATAGCAAAGTTTAATCAGACAAGGCCGATTGGTGAACGCACCTCAAGTATATCACAAACAATCGAGCAGAAAAAACCCCAAGAAATTATCGATTTAGAAGCGAAAATTACCGAAAGGGAAAATTTCCTAATGCCAATGTATCATCAAGTTTCGGTGCATTTCGCCGATTTGCACGATACACCCGAACGGATGCTCGAGAAAGGGGCCATTAGTGTGAGTTTTAGCGAATTTGAACGAAGGTCAAGCCGAGAAAACAAAAAAATATATATTATGTTTTTGTTAAAAAAATCAAAAACTAAGCAAAATCGACCAACTACATCTAAAAATGTAAGAAAATATAGACTGTTTCATTGAAAAAAAAACATAAGTTTGTATTGTATACCTGAAAATAATTTCAAGTGATGCAGTGGTTAAATATTTTGAAATTTAAAGGACGACCTGTATAACGTTAAAACTGCTTTTTAAAAATTTTTGTGATTTTTAAACTTCTTTTGAACCTAAAGAAGTGTTTTTATAGGAAATTTAATTCAACTTTTTTATAAACTATAGTTTTTACTACAATTAATTGGACTTATTCCGGCTTGAGCTTTCGTTTTGACAGTTTTGAGGAGAAATTGAGGATTTGTTGCAGGATATAGTGCCTTGGAGGAAATCGCGGTCGATTTTGTATTGGAGGTTGAGGCGATTATTACTTCAGGATAAAGTGGTGACGGCGTTGCTTGACGCACAGCCGATGTTGGGAGTGGGGCAAGGGGAGGCGATGTTGAGGAGGTGGTTTATTGAGGATAAGGGTTCAACTGAGGTTAGTATTCTATTAAGTTTCCGATCAAAGCAACCTGTGAGACAGGGTGAAAATATCCAATGAACGTATTTCTCAAACGTCAAAAAATTGATACAAATGTCAAAATTGATAAAAACTAGGCAAAAATCGAATTTTAACGCTTCTTCGCCGGTTTTTGCATTTCGCAATCAATCCCACGGTATTTTGTGATCATTCTAGAGTAAAATTTTGATAATTTATAACCTAATTTTGGGGATTTTTATTTATTAGGGCTACAAGTGGGACAATAATGAGACAGTGGTGCACTGGATGGAGGATCAGCTCCGGAAGCCCCCGAGTCAGTCAATAATCAATTACAATCTCCACTGTGTGAAAAAAGACGCTGTTATAAACCAAATCAACATAGCGCTTGAGGTGATTTTTTTTGTTGTTTTAACTTGTTTTTAATTTTTTTGGTTGGCAGGACTGTCCGGATGTGTCCCTCGATGCTGTGGTCCAAATCATCCAAAAATTATCAGATAATCAAAAAGCCGAAGTGATAAGAACATTGTCGCAGCTAGGGTCGGTCGAAAATATCGATTAAAATTCTATTTTTGCAAAAAAAAAAACCTAATCTAGGATTTTATTGTAAATAGGTTTGTGCTTTATTTATAATTCTGTTGTATTTATTTTTCTTGGAAATGATAGGGTTAGGAATAATTGTTATATTGTTGTTTATCTGGGAATTGTCCGAGATTTTGTTATAAAATAATTTTTTTTGAGAATCTGCGACTTTTATTTTTCCTTAATTAGTCACGCTATCAATAATATTGAAACAAAATGGTTTCTAATAGCAAATACAAATAATGACATAAATGGACAATAAGTGGTCACATGATGGTGGCCTTGAAAAAAATCGCTTTTTGAGTGTTAAAAAGTGGAAGAGAGCGATTTTTTCCAGTTTTGTCGAAGTGTCCAGAATGGTAAGTGAATTATTTCCAGTCGCAATTTTGTGTTTCCTTGAAATGTTTTTGTGATTTTTTCGAATTGCGATATGAGAAGTGAAGGCAAAAATGCGTTGTCACGGCCGAACCGAAATAAAAATCGAAAAAACATAACAAGTTTATCACACGAAACTGGAATTAACCAGAAAGCGGCTATCAAAACTGACCCCACACCCTATGATATAATTTTTTTCGGTTAAACGAACTCGTTTCTGGATTTAGACTCGAAAACAATAACAGACCCAAATCCAAGTTGCGTAACAAATAGATAAAAATCCAGCGACGCAACTTGTAGAAAAAATACGTTATACAGCGCCGTCGTGCGAAAATTTCCATCGAAAGCAATGAAATTGCTTAGATTACAAAAATGCTCACCTCGAATGTTTACATATTACGAAAGAGCTATCATTTATTTAATCATTATTCTAATTGAGTTTCTCTAACTGGTTATTTCCAGTTCTGCGGCGAAGAATTATGACCCGTGCCCGATTTGATCAAACACATGTCAGATACGTGCGTTAGCATCATACATAAGCTGGTCCGAAAGTATTCCCCAGTTTTTTTAATAAAAAAATCAATTTTAAGCAAAAATTTCAATTGTTTCCCAAGAATATGAAATGTACAGAGTGTCTCATCTAAGAGTTTTTCACAATTTAGTGTTTTGTTTTGAAAAACCCAAAAAGAAAATTCTAGTTAAAAGTATACATACTTTGAAATT